CTAATCCTTGCTAGAACTTGTCTGGAGTCCTGAGCTTGACCATTTATTCCCCAGGAGTCAGTCTATAAAGATGTAAGTTAAACTTCATGGTGCTGCTTGTTTTTCTCCAAAAAGAGACATTTGCAGGGTGACCCCAATAATCCAAGCCCTGCTGAAGGGTACTTCTGCATAGGCTTGGGCTTGGTATCACCAGGCAGAATTTTGTTTGTCACACTAATTGCTTGCAAAATTCTTTACTCACCCAGCAGGCTTCCTTAAGTAGCTCAAGAACTAATGCCTTGCTGCTATAAATACCCGAGGGTGAATCAGAAGGTGAGTAGGAAGGCCATGTTTGCCTGAACCAACTATTAAGAGAGCAAAGCTTTTCTGCCTTCCAGAAAACTTATAGGAAACAGTGGTGTGACTTCCTACTGCCACCATCCTCCTTCATTCAGTAGTCTACTTACGTGGTAATACTTTGTTTTTGGTAATTTTGAGTTGGAAACAAAGGACAGGAGAATAAAATTACAAAATTAATTATTTTAACAAGTATTGAATACCGCTGACAACTTGGGTGCTCTTGGCCCAACAACGAGATGGTGTTTAAAATGCTTCCTCAGCACTTCATGGGCTCAAAACTACACTGCCAGCCCAAAGACATCTGTGCATATTCCGAAATGCCCTCAGATGCAGCTGTTGTATGGCTACCCACCCGTTGTCTGGAGTTTCTGTACTTCCGTGCCAAGCCTTTAGCTGTGGAACCAACCTAACTGGCAAAACAGGAATGTAACAAACGATCCCTGTGATATGAGTCATATTAACTATTTATATGGAAGAGGTTGGTAAGACATTGCAGGAAGCACATGCACGAGATGTCCTGCTAGGACACGTCTTACTGAATTAGGTAGACGTGTATCATTTGTAATCTACAGCCTGGTCTCAGATATGCATTCTAAGCTTTGGATGATAATCAAATCAAGTGTTTAAAACTGTCTTGGCTTTAGAGTGGCTCCATCAGTGCTGCTAGAGTTAAAACACACACACACACACACACACACACACACACACACACACACACGCACGCACACACGCATGCACCAGCAGATAAAAACGTGACCAGTTAGAGAAGATTCATTTTCCTCCTAGAGGAACTATTATTAGCTTTGTTCTCTCTTGGGGGGGGGAGGGGGGAAGGAGTTTTACTTTTCACTTTAATACTTCAGGGAACACTCTCCTTATCTTTAGCCAGAATCAGCTCTAATCATAAACAAAAAACCAATCAGTGAGGTCCGCTTTTGTTGTTTTAAAAACTTTACCATATTAGAAGATATTAGATCTGGAAAGGGACAAGCACCAAGCTAAATATAATTCACTTGAGTGATTTCTGACAATGTGTGCAAATCGAGTTGTCTTTTCAGGATTGGCATACCCTAATATCACTGAATGAATCTACCACCTGAAGGCAAACTTGTGCAAAATAATTCACTCTGCTAGATTGTCAAATAACAATGTAAATTATGTTGATTTTCTTTAGAGAGAGCATCAGAGAGCTCCACTCATGGATTCAACAATAGACATTGATCCCCTGTGGTAGATCAGGCTAAGGTACTTGGAATACAAAAATGAGAAAGAGACACGGTCCCCTTCTCTGTATGGTTACAGCCTAGATGTGTGGATAGGGGAGGCAAGCACATAAACAGGTTATTATAATACACTCTGGTAGGTGTGGTATTATGGAAACACTGAGAGTTGAAGCTCAAAGGTCTTTCTAACTGAATGCCACTGTTTAATTTTAAGCAGCTATAAGCCCATTTTTCTTAAACCAGTTGTCTCTTTGTAAGAAAACCGTCTTATAAAACTGGCTCACGTTTCAGTTGTCTGTGGCCCTTCATGTGCCTCGATTGTGTCTGAAAGGCCCTTCAGGTCAGGGACCACTGCAGACCACAGTCTCACACTTAGTAGTTGTGACTATTCTTAAGGTTACATATACCCTAGGGTACTATAGTCATTATTTTCTTGAAGAGATCTTCACTAAAGATGAAGATTTATAGTAAGCCAGGTATTTTAATAAAGGAACATTTTCCTCTTCCTTTCTTTGATCTTCCATTGGCCAAGTTTCTGTGAAGGCCAGATAGTAAATATTTTAGGCTTTGCAGGCCATACATTTCTTGTTGTACTTACTCAGTTCTGCCACTATAGTGGGAAAGCAGCCACAGATAACATGTCAGCAAATGTGCATGGCTGTGTTCCAATAAACCTTTATTTACAAAGCTAGAGGATGGGCCAGATTTGACCCTCAGGCCATAATTTGCTGACCCCTGCTTTATAAGCAACATTTTTATTAGTCTTGATAACATTTAAAATGTACTGACCGGTAGGCTGTAAGGAGTAATGAGCATTAAATGTGGGGTCAGGAAACCTGTGCCAAGGCCTAGAGTTGCCCCTGCAGCTTTCATTTGATCCAAGTCAGTGATGTCCTTCAGCCTCAGTCTTCTCTTCAGTAAAATGAGGGGATGGACAAAATGACTTCTAAGATGCCTTTGATTGGCATTCTCTATTTCTGGAAAGACACAGGGATCTGATGATGAAATTCACCATCAATAGGAAATTTAAAGGGACATTTGCATCCACAAGGATCTGGGTAGACTGGAATGTGGACCATGTTTCACAAAGTGAAATTTAGTAGGAAGAGGTATAAAGTCTAGTACTTAGGTCCTAAAAAGATACAGCGACATGCAGACAGGAGGGGAGAGTCTTGGGATAAAGCAGCACAGGTGGAAGGTTTGAGCTGATGACTAGCACATTATGAATCAACAAAGTAAAGCGGCTGTCCCATGAGGAAAGATGGCTTTAAGCTGCATTAGCAAGAAGAATGTCCAGGAAGAGAGGACAGGGCTCTTTCTAAGCTCTGTGCTGACAAGACCACACCTGAAGTATTGTTATCAGTATTAGACACCACCCCTTAGGTCAGACTTTGACACCCTGGAGAGTGTCCAGAGCACAGGACCAGGGTGTCAAGGGAATTCCCAGCCCTTTCCTTCAGAGGAGATTGAAAGACGTGGCCATGTTCAAGAGTGGGGGAAGACGCAGAGAGCCAGGGATACCAAAACTGCTACACTTTAGAGTTCCTATAGAAAATTACTTCTTGAAAGATTTTATATCTTTACATCTAGGTTAGTACTCAAAATATAATAGGCACTCAAATATTTGTTGAAAAAAAGCCTAAGTATGTGAAGAGCATTCAAGTAGAAGAAGTATTCTACTTGTTCTCGGTGGCGTCAGAGGCCAGGAGTAGGACCGAGGGAGGAAGCCACAGGCAACTGCTGCGGTCTTAGCATGTGGAGAGGTAGTCCGCATCATTGTGCCCGGGAGGGAGCCCAGGTGCTGCTTTGGGAGTCCGCATGGTAATCTTAGCACAGTCTCACCAATGCTGGTGGTCACCTGGTAGCCACAATTATATTCAGTTGCCTCGAGACAGCTGTGTCATGTCACCTTAAGGCCTCTTGGGTTCTGAGAGCGTGTGTTAATGTTTGCATTTTTCTGCACACATAGGTTTCCTGTCTACACTCGTATTTCCCAAAGTGCAGTGAGGACCGGAGATGTATGAGATGATTTTAGCTATTACACAAACTGACATTTTTAAAATATTTACATATTTCTTTTAATGTGTATTAGAAAAAAATAAAGCTGGCATATCATAATTTCATAAATATTATGTAAGACATAATACAGGCTACATTAGAAAAGCAAGAAAATTTAAAGTTGATAATGAAACGTGGTAAGCACACTTAACAGTACCTATATACTCAGATATGGCAAAAGTTGACAAAGTAGTATGTGAATGGCTGAAGTACGTTCTAAGTAAATTCTATTAAACTCTCAACGAAGAGCTATAAAAGCCATTTTATTTTGCTTACAAGTATCCCATCTCTTTCTTCCACCTATAACAAGGTAATTTTTCTCTGTCACACAATCCCATCACTGGAAAAGACTCAGATGATTTTCCTTTTTCATTAAAAATAAAAAATGCAGTAATGCCGATGGAGAAAATTCCAGAAGAGAAAAAAAGTAGAGTGAACAAAAGAAGTCTTACAGAATCCCACCACGCAGCTTCCCGTTCCCCTCCAGCATTCCCTCCTTTCTTTGAACCCTTGTGTAAACTTGTCATCGTGGGATAGATGTGCTTTATATTTTTCATTTTAAATTTAGCGTATCAAATCACTCTATTACAAACTCCTCTTTGCTGCATTTTTTGCTCTCAGCATTCTTGGCCACTTGTCATTCCTCAAAGCTAACGCAATTGCTTCTCATGCGTCTCCTTCACCCTGATGTCTTTCTAAGTAAAATGGAATTTACACTGTAGTTCAGGTGCTAGAGTTTCAGCCTCTTCTCTGGATACCTTCGTTTAGGAAGCTTTAGACACCCTCATTTTACTTGTCTATAATTTTCCTTGGTGTTTTATAATTTAAAGTTTTCACTCGAACCCTGTCATTCCATTTTTTGGGCCTCTGATCTCCCTAGGGGGTCTTGTATCTGTACTCTCCTATCACCAGTTCAGGAAAGTCTCTTTCTTTTCCCATTTCAAAGTGTTTCAGAAATCCATAAGGACTCCATGTCCCATGGATGTAGGTAGCCGATACTCTCTGGTTTTACTCTGTTTAAGTATTTCCCAATGTACTCCCTTTCTCCATAACTCCATTCCAGACATTGAAAACATTTACTTTTTTATATGTGTGTATATATGCAACCAAATTATTGGCATATTGCCTGTTTTATCCGTTATCTGATGTGTAGCTTAGGCTTGGATATGCCTCATACAAATGCCCATTCCACTATTCTGGGTCAAGACATGGATAAGATTGGGACTCATGATCATTCATTTTATTCTGATAGTCCAGACATGTGGGCAATTAGACTTGTAATGACTATTCTATAGAAAGCTGAGCTCTGTAGAAAATGTGCCCAATATATAGAAAAAAATAATAATAACTGGTTATTCTTTCTGTGAAATTTTTCTAAAGGCTGGATTACAGTGGACCTTCCAGAGAGTTTTTCTTCCTCGTATCCAGAGAACTCTTTAACCCATATTATGGCTTATTTGAATATTCAGCCAACGACACATACACAGTACAAATAAGTCCCATGTCTGCTTTTGTAGACAATCACCATGAATGGTAAGTACTTTTTCCTCAACACTTTTTTTCAGTTGATTTTCTGTGAGAGTATTTTTTATAGGAACCCCTATTTCTTTTAACACTTTTTTCCTTGGGGAAAATCATATTTTCAGTTTCATTTGACTCTTATTTTTGTTGTCAAATTTACATATGCAGGCAGTCTCCAAGCTAGGGATAGATTATATTCCACACTTGATCGTAGCCAAAAGACCGAGAAGTAATGTATTCCAAAAGACCAATTTTAAGTGAGTTGGGTAGAATTCAAAAGGTTTTTTTTCCCATTGAAAGAAGGTTCCAGATGATGTTAGGTTCCCAGCAAAATCGCTAGATTCTGCTCTGCACCTTTGGGCATCTCTGAGCTGTGAGATGGGGTGGGAGAAGGTCCTGACCCAGAGGTCCGGCAGCTGCTAGAGCAGCCCTTGGGGAAGTGGCCAACACTGGGGGTGGGGCAGAGCAGCTGGGGTGCTGGCTGAGGGTAATGATGGCATTCTAGTAGGAGGGAGGGAGGGTGCGGTGCCCTGGAAGAACCGATAGTAGAAGAGAACCTGGCAGAAGGACACGGGCTCAGAGTCTCAGCAGTGGCGCTTACCCTATTAGCTATTGAAATTTGTAGCCAGGGACTGCTCCTTTTCTATTTTTTCACATAAAATCATCAAGGAAGACTGGTATAGGATTCCCCTCTGGGGATTACTTTTTCTGAAAACCCTGAATTGCACTCTTTCCAAATGTCCTTACATACCTTTTTAATCCCTGCGTTTATACGCTTTAAATACTCTATAACCCCTATTTGCTTGTTCCTCTTTATTTATAGTAACAACAACAAAAAAGAAGTAAGTAAGACTCATGGAAAAATTCTCTTTGAGTCATGAAGGTTAATATTGGTGGGTGGAGGGCATTAAGTTTTAGGACTTACTCTTCAAATTAACTCCATTTAGTTACAATTTGGAGTCCTCTTAACTGTAGCTATTACAGTTAACGCTACCTTAGGTGGAAATAAAGAAAACAAAGCTGCTGGACATTCATCTTAAAATGGCTGTCTAATACTAAAATCACAGATGGACTGTATGGACTTCAGTGTGGATGTACACTTTTGGATCCCTTTCCGAAAGAGAAAATAAGTGTACATCTCAGCAAATCCAATCATGACTGATGTATTTAGTAAAGTTTCCAAAGTGATTCAGAATAGGATTGAGCCTTGAAATTTTAGAGAACAGAATGTCCCATGAGGAAACTCCCCCAAAGGTCCACATGCATAATTCTTGGATCGTGACAATTACCATCCGGAGTGCAGTTTGAGAGAGACCAGGTATAGGAACTTTCTCACTTTGAGATTGGGCTTTTCCTCAAGAGGGGATTGCTAGTGGGTTTGTATTAGAGAAATTCTGCGAATATTCTTGCAAGCAAACTAGAAGGGGACAGCATTTTCCCCACCACCACTGGTCTCAGTCTGTCATCTCTGAGAAATGGCTTGGGGAAATTTCACTGACCTGCACATGGGGAATTCGTGTTGACCATGTGGGGTGCTACATGGTAGACATTATTAACATGAGGTGAAGGAATTATTAACAGAGTGAAACAGATTTTTTTCAAGTAAATGTGAATATTTGCCTAATGAAGACACAGGCTACAATGCACACAAACTCTCACGGACCCAGTAAATGATCAGTCCTGGACAAACTTAAATGATTAGAGCTGAAAGGCTTTCTAGAAGTCAGATAGAACAATTTAGAAACTGCCTCATGATGTGTAAGCTGTCTTGTGCTTTTTCTTCACAGGTTCCGATTCAGTGGTAGGATTCTTGGTCTTGCGCTAATACACCAGTATTTGTTGGATGCTTTCTTCACACGGCCCTTTTATAAAGCTCTTCTCAGAATGTAAGAGTATTTTTGTTGCTTGTGCAATTAATATGTAAGAATGTAATATTTCTTTTATTAAAAAAGGGCCTTTTGTCAGTGTCATGTATCTGCTTAGATGTCTGAAGCTAAAACAGTTTCAAATATGGTCACTGTGTTTTCCCCAACCCTGTATTTCTGTCTTGCCCAAAAGTCTTAGTTTTGCTTTGTTCTAGAAAATTTATTCTCATTTGTTGCAACACATGTTTCTTCAAAACAATTGTACTTCAAATACAGCACTGGAATTCCTGTGGTATTAATGCCGATTATTAATAGAATAGTTGTGGGTTAGTCTTGGTGACTCACAGCCCCCTATCCTTTATGAGAAGCATTTTATATATTGCTTAATGCAGACTTCAACTGCTTACTCTTGGTCCAAGTTTTCATTCTCCTTTTGTTTTGTTTTTGTCTTATTTTTTGTTTGGTTGCTGGAGGTGGGCAGTCCCTTATTTTTCTTGAGACTTCCCTATATGCAAGATAGTAATTTATTATGGCAGATGAGAATTTAGCATTCACAGAACTTTTTCTTCATTGTTGCCACAGTGAAAGATTGCAATTATTGTAAAATGTAGAGCAAACAGTTTCTGTCCTGTAATCAGTAGTCATTTACAAGGCTAAACAGGAGAAGGCAACTGTCTGGTGGGGTAGTAGCTCAAACTTGCAAGGAGAAAGCACAGAATGATTGCTGGGTTCTGTCCAGCTTATTCCCTGACAGAGGCCATGTGCCTGCTTTCTGTAAAATGGAAGCCTAGACTTCAAATGAAAAGCAAGCGTTTCTAATGGGCTCTTAAGAGGGTCAGTAGGAAGACTTTTTGCTTTCCTCCCTTTTGGTGTCTGGGCAGATGAAACCCTGGGCAACTGGGCGCTGTCCATTTGCCTCTCGGGTTCCCCTTGTCTGATTTGCACCTTCCCATTTCATTGCCTTTTCTCATCTTCTCCTATAAGCTTCCTAAAAGAGTGGTCTGTGCTGATGTGCCCTCAACACACTTTAGCCTGGCTTCCTTGCCACCAGTAACCCTTAGAAGCTTTTAAAGAATATCCTTTAGTCCTCATCTTACTGTATCATCCTACTGCTTTTTGATACTGTTGACCACTCCAACCCCGAACCCCACCCACTTACTTTGTGTCTTTCCTCCACTGGTGTCCCTGACACTATTCTCTCCCAGTTCCCCTTTTATTTTTATGTCTCTTTCATGGGCTTCTCCTCTGACTTCCCCTTAAATTTCGGTGTTCCTGGAGCTTCCATTCTTGCCTCTCCCCCCTCCTGCTTTTCTCTCTCTATGTGCTGTCATGGCGAAATGTCTACACCTGTCTCTTCTCCTACTGGCTCACATCTGCACCCTTAGTCTTAATCTTTGAGTTAGAGGCTCATGTGGTCAACATTCCACTGAGTGTCTCCACGTGCATGTCTCCTAGGCGTCTCAAAATCAACATGGTGACCACTAAGCTCCTCAATTTCCTCAACCTAAAAGTGTACCTTCTCCAGTGTGCCTAGTCACAGTCCATGGTGCCAGGATTCTCAGGTCACTGGTCAGAAACTGGGAGTCACCCTCACACGGGGATGGCAGATACACAGCACAGATTCTGCTCTTCCCTACCACCCATTCCACTGCCATGCTGTGGTTCACAAATCATTTATCATACTTTTCCCCACTGAATTCATTTTGGCCTCAGGAATTTTTTCAACTTATAGTCCTCAAGACTGGCAGTTAATCAGAGCTGGCTTGCAACATGAGTTCATTTGCTACCCCTATTTTGATAGCCTTCTTTATACCCCTGATGATACCACTTACTAATGCCCATGTTTACCCCTTAAATAATTCTTAAATTCATCTTCTCCTGTCCACCCTTAATAGCTGTGCTCTTAAAATAAAACTCTTATCTTATTTTGGCCAGATTACTGTAGTGGTCTACTAATTGCCTCCACCATCTGATGAGAACCACTCCTCTCCCCACCCCCATTTTAAGTAATCCTCTATACTACAATCTCCAGAGAACTATTTAAAATCGCATCTCACATCTGATCATGTCATTTCCTGTCCTAAAATATTTCCGTAGTTCCGAAGCACCACGCTCCTTAGAATGATATTCAAGGCCTGGTCCCAGCTACCTTCCTAGCCTTCTCTGGATGTTATGTCTTGTGGTTAACTCTCTGATACTACCAGTATGCTTGAGTATTTTGCATATTCCATGGCCTTGTGCTTTGTTAATGTTGTTCTCTCCTCCCTTTCTTTTCCCCCTTCTCCTTCTTTTCATCCATTTCCCTTTACTTCTCTATCTTTTAAACAGCCTACAAATTTTGATGTAGGTATTACCTACTCCAAAAGACTTTCCTGAATCTCCAGGTTGAAGTCCCGCATTCTTGCTATGAGAGCTCCCTGTATCTACCTTATCATTGTTTTTAATTGGAGTGTAACATTCATGTAAGAAATACACAAATTTTAAGTGTTACCCAGCCTAGGCTATCATCATCACCTTATATTAATTGACCTATTTGTGTGCCTGTCTCCCCAACTAGACCATTAGCCCCTGAGGGCAGTAACTGTTTATCAAGTAGGTGTTAAGATGTCTGGCACATCCTTGATGCCTAATAAATGTTTATACTGAACCAAACAAAATGACCTCTGAAATTGGGCTGATGGGGGGAAAATTCAAAACAACAAAAGCAAATCAGTTGTTACCACCTTAAAACTGGGCTATAGAACAGTAACTTCATTGTATGCAGATCCTCTCTCCACAATGAAAAAAGAGGAAAGAAGTATGGAAAACTATTATAATTGTAGAGAGATTCCATAGCTTGCTGTTTTCAGAAACCTGGAAAGAACAAGAACCATGAAGAAAAAGGAGATGTATGTGAATGTGGATCACTCAATCTAGTCTTTGAAAAAAATAACAAAGTTAAAGTACAGTATAGAAACACACCAAAAATATCTAATTATGAGAACAGCGTTTTAAGGTGGTATAACGTAGCCAAAAGAATATGGGACTCAGGCTGTGAACACCTGAGTTCCAGTTCCTGCTCTGGCATTAGTCGTGAATGACTAGGCAAATGGCAGCCACTCGGACAGGCTGGTTGATTTAAGGCATTTTATATATCCAGGATTTTTACATCGTATGGCGTATTTTTTTTTATTATTTAGCTGCTTTGGTTACTGAGTTTGACTGAGAACATTCCAGAAATCACTGCCTATTTTGTTGACCTTGTTCTTGTCTTCAATTCTTAGTTTCTTTCCTGTGTCTGTGGGGTTTTCCTAACAGTCATCCCTACATATCTGCTTCTATCTGTTTATCATCTTAGTCTGTGTGACCTGAGTGATCTAGAATACCTTGATGAAGAGTTCCACCAGAGCCTGCAGTGGATGAAAGACAATGATATCCATGACATCCTGGACCTGACATTCACTGTGAATGAAGAAGTTTTTGGGCAGGTCTGTGTATGTGAATCCCCGGTGACTTAGCGTGGTAATTAAAGGCTGTTGGTTGATGAAGAATTAATTCATATGCGTACTTATTTGTGGCTTGTTGGGTGGTTTCAACCCCCGTTTATATACAGTTATAATAATTTTGGCTACAAAGATTATTTTAATACCAACAACAGAGTAGGATGGTCTAATTTACAGATTGTGGTAACTATTTGTATGTTATAAGCAATCTTCTTTTTATTCCCAACTAAAATATCCACATAAAATTTTAGAATTGCCTTGTATAAAATACAGCTTTTCAAAGTCCATGCTACCCCAGAGTTGAATATTAAATTATTTAATTGGCATTTGTACTTAACTCTCATTCATGTTTAAGAGCAGAAAATGTTTTGAAGCTGAGGGATGAAATAATGTTTTGGTGAAGGTTTGAAAACATGGTCGTTGGTTAAAAACATTTCTTTCAAAAATTATATACTGTTTCATAAGTAATATTCTTATTTACACATTTATGTTTGACTGGTCTTCTGAATTTTGTGTTTTGGAAAAGAAGTTCTCAATGTAGGGGCGCCTGGGTGGCTCAGTCGGTTGAGCGTCCAACTTCGCTCAGGTCACGATCTCACGGTCCATGAGTTCGAGCCCCGCATCAGGCTCTGTGCCGACAGCTCAGAGCCTGGAGCCTGCTTCAGATTCTGTGTCTCCCTCTCTCTCTGGCCCTCCCCCCATTCATGCTCTGTCTCTCTCTGTCTCAAAAATAAATAAATGTTAAAAAAAAAAAAAAGCTTCCTTGACTAAAAAAAAAAAAAAAAAGAAGTTCTCAATGTAACATTCACTTAAATGTAATTCTGCTTCCTTAAGGCAAATCTTTACTTAAATATTGGCTTTTGATATGTAGTTGATTCTGAACCCTAATGGAATTTGCGAAAATATGTTTTTGCCAAACATTCCAATAGCAGTGGGGCAAAACCTGGAGCTAATTTATTTTCATTTAAAAGACTTACTAGTTTAGTCAGGATTTAAAATTTAACCTCCAGCACTCACAATATATAGATTTTTAACCACTGAAGCTTTTAGACATCAGCTCAGTGCCTAGTTTTTACTGAGCACCGGTGTGTGCATGGGCTCCATGTTGCACCTCCCCCCACTGCTGTGGAAACCCCCCTCCCGCCGTGGCCAGGGCAAAGACAGGTAGCTGGGTGATTTCGGCTCATTGGTAGCAGTGTTCTTCTAACATCAAGAGTATTTCTTTATGTTCAGTGTTTTGTTTTGTTTTTTAATCTCAGATTACCGAACGAGAATTAAAACCAGGGGGTGCCAATATCCCGGTCACAGAGAAGAACAAGAAGGAGTACATCGAGAGGATGGTGAAATGGCGGATTGAGAGGGGTGTTGTTCAGCAAACAGAGAGTTTAGTGCGTGGCTTCTATGAGGTGAAGACAATCAGAGGGAGTGGGGTTTTGCAAGTTGCTGTCTATGATACCACAGTCCATCTTCTGGTGCTTTATTTGTGTGCGATATTTCCATTTTTCTTTTGTTATATTTATTATTGCACTTTCAATTTAAAAACTCCAATATATTTTGTATGTGTTTCAAGCACACAAAAAAGCTCCATGCCCCCTTACAAGGGATCTTTGAAATAAAATGATGAATTCAAGTAGCATTTCATGACTTAACGACCACTAATAACAGTGAAGTCATACATCTTACTCATGCTTTGATACGGGTGATCACGTCTCATGCTTGCTATGTGAAGTGATTGTATCTTAGGGTTTGAATGAGTTGTGACAAATACTCCATGTGACTTCCTTTGGAGGAGCACTAGATCTTTTTAAAAGAGAAAAACAAACTGGATTTATCAGTGGTCAGTCTTAAAATGAAAATTCTGTTGAGGAGAAGCTCATCCATCTTGTCTTAAAAATATATTTGTCGAGAGCACTGCATTCTTCAGAGTGCCTACACATAGCACTTCCGTCCTATTCCTAAAATTCCTTGTGCCCTCCTTTTCTGATGAGGCGTAATTATAGCTGAGATTTCTCCTGACTCGCAAGCCATGCCCTGCATTCTTTTTACTCCACAGGTGGTGGATGCCAGGCTGGTGTCTGTTTTTGATGCAAGAGAACTGGAACTTGTCATCGCGGGCACAGCTGAAATCGACCTGAGTGACTGGAGAAACAACACAGAATACCGAGGAGGTGAAATGTGATTTAGAGATGGCTGAACTTTTACGTTTCATATTAAGGGGAAGCAAATGGTTAGCATGCCAGCCTGAATCCAGGATAGGCAAGGCACTCTGTATTATAATCATAGGTTTGTCACAGTCTCCTCTGAGACCTTGGGCAAGGTACATTCCCTTCTTTTCCTAGTTACCTCATCCATCAAGTGGAGGAAGGACTGTTTACACACCATCTGAGGATGTCATAACTGTTAATTGTTGGTGAAGAAATGTGACCATAAGAACACTAATTAATTGCTTTATGGTGTTGTTAGTGAAGCACCTAGGAACTCATATCCACCTGGTCAAACTCCACCTCTTCTCCCTCCATTCTAAAACTTGAAGCGACACACCCTCTAAGCTTCCCAATAGAGCAAAGGCAGTTTTTCTGCATTTCACTGAACTACCTACCAGTCGTAATTCACGGTTGAAACACATAAATGGAATAAGACCTGGCTCTCAAAATTCAAGAAGCTTATTGAACGGGCCCTTCTAAACTCAAGCATGAAGTTCAACTGAAAAGCAAACTACTGTAAGATTAGTTAAAACCTGCATTGTATGACAGTTCACCGCCTGGGAAGCTTTAGAAGTGGCATTTCTGTAGATCACTATAAATTGTCCACTAGCAGTTGGGACTGAAGCCATTGAAATCTCCTCACTGAGTTAATAGACTTTGAAAGGGACCTGATGGTGATCCAGAGTTGAAGTTTTATCCCATAATTTTAAGCAAAGAGAGAATACCTTTTCTGAAATTTATTGCAGTGTGACAGTCTTCGGAAAGTCATGACAAATAGCAGTTGCTTTTTGTTGTGATTTTGGCTTTTGGTTTTTAACTCAGAATGTAAGGTTAGCAGCAGTTCTGAACTTGGAGAGTAAAAACTACAAACTTTAAGTCGCTGAATTAACCACTTAGCAGAATACACTGAGAGTTGAACATCTCTATCTTCAGTTATCTGTAAATTGAAACAAAAGATTAAAAAAAATTTTTTAAAGTTTAGAGTAAAAAAAAAAAATAACATTTGCTGAATTGCTTTTGTTCTTGCCTGTTCGTGGCTCTTCCAGCTCATCGCTGTTGCCGTGGGCTGGCCGTGCATGCCCATTTTCTCTGAAAGGCCGTATTAAATTGCAGTCTCTCTTGCTGCTATTTCTGAAACCCAATTGCTACGATGCATCTTTTCCAACTGGCCCCATGTGTAACCCATATGTGGCCTTGGTTATTGTAACTTTGTTAACCAAGCTCTTTTTACCACCTAGAACACAATTTTCTCCAGCATGCTACATAACTTAAAATTAATCGATTCTATTTTCTTCAATTACGGCTGCTTTCATTGGCCACACAGATATTGCTGGTCTCATTTCGCTGGCCACGCGTCACATTGGCTTGTTGCAGCGTTTGATGGCCATTGCCGTCATTGCCATTGTTGGCTGGCCACATACCGCTTGCCTTTGTTTACACAGCCAGCTGCCACAGTTAATAGTTATTGCCGTCACGCCAGCTGGCTATTTACATTATTGGCCATATTGGCCAGCCCGGTTGTTACGCTGCCATTAATGACGTTACCGTCATTAATAGTTATTGACATTAGCCATTTTGCCACCTGCCTGGGGCTGCCGCCACAATGGGTCAGTTTTCTCGGCCATTGCTGCCACACATATTGGCCATTATTTAAAGATACACATTATTTGCACCTGTAAATGCCTGTACCTGCCCGGCTCTGTACCTGTCCCGGGCAGATTCTAATAGCAACACTGTTAATCAGATCAGCCATATTCATCTTTACGTATTGTAAGCTTTATTCACCGTGTATGTCTACTCAAGTCCCTATTTCCATGGTCATTGTAAATCTTCCCAAGTGAAATGCTTGGGAAGAGAGTGCTCCGGGTGGGGAGGCAGAGAGATGGTGAGATACCCAGCTGTTTGCTGACCCAACTAGCTGGCACTGGATGAAGAGGCAGCTCTGCCACCTGCCATGTGGTCATTAGGCAGCTGTTTGTAGAGAATATGAAGAGACACTTGCTGTCCTCCTCCCCCAGAAGGTTTGGCACAAACAGCAAAGGAGAAGCAGAAAGGGGCCTGATTCATAAGATCAGAAGAGCTATAAAGAGCCACTGTGCTTATTTTATAGATGAGAAAACGATTTGCTCAGCACCAAATAGCTAGTTTCTGCCAAATGGACATGGAGCCTGTATAACACCATGTCCAGTATAAATATATTTACCTTTCACTTGGATCCCTTTCTTGTCCAAAGGGCACTAAGCATCACTGATCAAATGGTAAATGCTAAGGCAAAATTTCCCCCAAATTCTACAACCACTGTAACCTGTGAGCAAAAATTCAAATTCAAATCGTTTTTTACCCACCTTGTATGTTGGACTTACTTGTGCTGACTCGGAATGAGAGTGGCTTTGTGTACCTCGAGCACATGGAGTTAATTGGTTTGAATCACCAATTGTACCTTAATCTTCTCTCAACTTAATTTTTCTCCGATGAAAGATTTTGGGATCCACACGTACTGCCTTAATCCTCCCGGGGATGATACTTTTGACATTTTATTAAATTCTACTAAGCTATGGAATAAAAGTAACATTTAGGTTCGTGGTTATTTGCGATTTATTAGTTGAAGGAAATAGAGTAATAAAATTACGATTTCCTTTTTATTAATAAAAAGTAAGTTGATTTAAAAATATGAACATTATATGTAGTTTTAAAATAGTTTGCAATTAAGTATTTACTTGTATACTTATTTGATTTAACATGTCTCTCCTTTACCAGAAGCCCTGTAAGGGTCCGTTTGCTTTGCCATTGTTACCCCCAAGCTTAGTACAGTGCTTGGCATAGTGATACTTGAAAATTATTTCTTAAATGAATGACCAAAAGAGTTAGGTATTTCCAGTAATAGCAATGATCTTTTTCAGAAATGGTATGGTTAAAATGACAACTTTGTTGTTCTTCTCTCCACCAGTTTTGTTTACTGACCACTAAATGGAAACAGAGACCTCCTAGTTTCATTGAGTATTGTCTTTGTTTGACTTTTGACACTCATGTGATTGTATTTACAGTGTTATTCCCTAGTCTTAAATGATAGACAACCTTTAAAGAATCCAAGATGATGATTTATGTCTGGGGGTCTTTTGTCGACACGTCATGGTGTCATGTCATCTTAACATAGAAAAGTCAAAGTAATGTGGGCTTTCCTGATTGGTTTAATAGGATATCATGACAATCATATTGTAATTCGGTGGTTCTGGGCTGCAGTGGAAAGATTCAACAATGAACAGCGACTCAGGTTGTTACAGGTAAGATGCCATTAGTTAATTTTTTAATGCATTAATATAATTATTATTGGAATTGCTTATGTTTAATAATTGCTAAGTACTCAGTAAACACACCCCATGTTTGCCTGCAAATGTGGGATACATTGTTTCAGACTCTTCTGATTGCATGTTCTGTGGCTCCATCACTATGCAGAACATCCCCAGCCACGTCCAAGCATCTCATTAGAATTTTGAGGAAATACCAACTCCAGTCCAAGAATCCCAGGAAAAACACCTGCCTTCAGGGCAACTTGGTCCCTTCAACACGAGATCCCGGGGCACTCTGCAGGGCAGCACCTCTAGCAATAGAAAATGACCTTCAGTCTCTTAGGAAGTGACCAGGTCTTTGAAAAAGAATCTTTTCTTTTCTTCCATGTAACTTTCCACAAACTTGAGATGACAGTGAAGTTCAAGGATACTGGGAAAACTAACTCATTATTTTCTTGTGGTGTTCATAGTTACATGGGCATTTAGTGGTTGATCGCAGCCAAAGAAATATCGGGAACAAGCCTTCTGAATGCTTAGGCTGAGCCTTACAAGTAGATTGGGTCTTAACTCCTTTGGATCAAGGATCTGGTCCTCATTTACCTCAAGTTGATCAGGGACTGATGCCAAGTAGACTTAGGCTGATTGATATACCTACTTTATTTATCTATAATGGGAAATACACCCAATTTAATCTACTGAGCTGGCTAGCCGTACAGGATGCTTTATCTACTAAGACCCTCTGGATCTCCTTTTCTTTTATAATGCACTGTCTTTCTTTAGTGTTCCCCAGATCTTTGTCAGAATTCTTGTGTTGGGTTTTTCCACACCTATGGAGTTTTGTCTTCAGGCTTTCCCACCAGTGAGCAACCTGCTGTTCTTCCCCGAGAGCCCTGCACATGAATGATGCCATGCGTTTGTCAGCAGCTAGCCTCTTGGTTTCACTTTATCCTTCTGTTTTCTTTGGTTGATAGTTTGTCACAGGCACATCCAGCATTCCCTATGAAGGATTTGCTTCTCTCCGAGGGAGTAATGGCCCAAGAAGATTCTGTGTGGAGAAATGGGGGAAAATCACTGCTCTTCCCAGGTAAAATAAAAAAACAACACTTCTGTACTGTCACGACAGATGTTCCGGGAGAGAGAGACCTTTAAGTTATGCGTGTATTGATTAATTACTGTTTTTATATTAAAAGTTTGGGAGAGTGGAAAAAAGCTTAAGAATTTAGAATGAATTTATCTTTGATTACCTTTCAAAATGGAGGAGTAAAAGATCTTACTGGGCATACTTAAAATGCATGCATACATATCTTTTTCTCTTTTTTTATTGAAGTATAATTTACACATGATGTTACATTAGTTTCAGGTATACAAAATAGTGATTCGACAAGTCTATACATTATGCTGTGTTCACCACAAGTGTAGCTCCTATCTGCCCCAAGACATCACTATTATAATATCATTGACTGTATTCCCTATGCTGTGCCTTCTATTAGCCTAACTTATTCATTCCACAACTGGAAGCCTGTATCACCTTCTCCCCTTCACCCATTTGACTATCTCCCATTCCCCCTCCCCACTGGCAACTATAAGTTTGTTCTCTTTATGAGTCTATTTCTGCCTTTTGTTGGTTTACTCATTTGTTTTGTTTTTTAGATGCCACATGTAAGTGAAATCATTTGGCTTTCTCTGTCTGACTTATTTCACTTAACAGAATACACTCTAGGTTCATCTGTGTTTTTACACATGATAAGATCTCATGTTTTGTATGGCTGTGCGACATTCCTCTGTGTGTGTGTGGGGGTGTGTGTGTGCGCACGCGCGCGTGCAGGCACATGTGACAGGCACACGCACCACATATTCTTTATCCGTTCATCAGTCAATATGGGTTGCCTCCGTATCTTAGCTATTGTAAATAATGCTGCAGTATCTTTTTGAATTAGTGTTTTCATTTTCTTTGGGTAAATATCTAGTAGTGGAATTACTGGATCATATGGTATTTTTATTTTTAATTCTTTGAAGAACCTCCCAACTGTTTTCCATAGTGGCTGCACCAAGTTACATTTCTACCAACAGTGCATAAGGCCTCATTCCTTTTTCTCCACATCCTCGCCAACACTTATTATTTCTTGTCTTTTTTATTGTAACCATCCTGAAAGTGATAGGGGATGTTGCATTGTGGTTTTGATTTGCATTTCCTTGATGGTTAGTGATGTAGAGCATCTTTTCATGTGCCTGTTGGCTATCTGTATGTCTTCTTTGGAAAAATATCTGTTCACATCCTTGGCCCATTTTTAATTGGATTATTTGTGGGATTTTGGTGTTGAGTTGTATAATTTCTCTATATATTTTGGATACTAACCCCTTATTGGATGTATCATTTGCAAATATCTTCTGTTATAATACAAAATGCTGTATAACCAAAGCATTTGTTAGCTTTAGTGAAACAATGTTGGTCATCACACTGTGGCTTCTTATGATTGTGGCTCTGACTTAGGTGTTCGCAGAAGCTCTCATTTTAAGTATATATGAATAACTATTTAGAATCCCGTCACTAAAAATTGCCACTATGGTTTCTAGAGAGTCATGTCAACGTACTCTATACCTCTTTAACTTAAATCATACATGCCTTAGTGCCATGTGAATGCTCTCTGCATTGATTCTCATTCATAATAAGATAATGCACTTCCCTGGAGTGAAAAAAAAATTGCTTTGCTGCTGCTAATAAATTTAAGAGCCTGTAAGGTAGTAGTTGTGAATATAAGTGTTTGGGGTTGAATGGAGAACTGGAACTGAAACAAAAGAAAAGGAGGGAACACATGAATAAAAGAGGAATGGAGGAGAGTTGATTTTAGAACTCCTTCATGTAATCAGCAGTAACAATACAGTATTTTTGAGGTAAAAAAGACTTCAGATTGCCTCTCATTTTACTAATAATAAGACTGTGGGGCACCTGGGCGTCTCAGTCAGTTGAGCATCTCTTGATTAGGCTTAGATCATAATCTCGAGGATTGTGAATTGGAGCCCCTCATAGGGCTCTGACATTGCAGAGCCCGCTTGGGATTCTCCCTCTCCCTCCCTCTCTGCCCCTCCCCCGTTCACATGCTCTTTCTCAAAATAAATAAATAAACATTAAAAAAAAAACGCTGCAATCTGGGGGGAGGGGGGTTAAATGATCTTCCCCAATGGTATTAGGTACCCCAGGATGTCATCCTGAGTTTTTTTTTTAAGTACAAGTAACTTTGAGAAGCCTGTTAACGAGACTTTCTTCCTAGCGATCGCAAGACACTGTTTCTTAATAATTATTTTCTAAGCATCAACACATGACAAGAGGGGCACTGAAAATACAGATACAGACAGCAATGAGCAGTGCAAGCTCAGGGCCGGCGTAAGCCTCCTCAGTCACCCTCAGTATATTTCAATCTGTGAACAGAGGCACTACATCCAAACCCCTAAGTATTAGCCAGCATACCTGATGTTCCAGATTTGGGAGACTGTAATTTCATTATTTAAAGAAATATTTTCTTTATACCTGAATCATCCCTCCCCCACCCCCACCTTAAACACATATTTGTATCTCAAAAACAGGTTCACACTGTCTGATTAAGGCTTTGCACCATTCTGAAAAACTCAAGGATTAGCATCAAGGAGGCAGGAAATGGCAGATTAATTGTGCCACTTTACTCTTGAAATCTATTTTTTATAAAGATTTATTTTTGTAAAGTAGATGGAATAAACTGTAATAATAAGCAGATATGTAAGTTGTTCACATTTAATCACTGCAATTTTCACCAAACATGGTAAGCAGAGAAAGGTAATTTGATGTAGACCTGAGACCTAGCTTCAGAGAGACTGGGCTGCATTCCAGCTCTGTCGCTTACCTGCAGTTGAGTCTTGGAGAAGTTGCTTAATTTTTCTGAGCCTCTGTTTCCTTATTTACTTTGTAGGTCAGTAATTCTGAGGATTCAATGCAATCATTCATGTAAAACATTTACTGCTGACCCTGGCCTTGAGTAGTTAATAGTGGCTGCCATTATGATTTCTGTCACCATCATCTGTAAAATATATCAGGCAGTAGTGTATTGGAAGGAGCACAGGGTTGGGAGTTAAAAGATCTGGGTTCTAGTCCTGCCTCTGCCACCAGCTAACTCTGGGACCTAGAAGATCACTTGATGTGCAAAAGGCCAGGGAGAGGGTGGTATATTAGGTTTGGTTGAACAAAAACTTATAGTGAGAGGTTTCTGAAAATCTTGGGAGTCAGGCTGGTTCACTTTCTACTTCCCCCTGAGAGTTCCAGGAAGTTTGTGTGCTGACTCATTATAAGTGATGGTGTTCTCCATTATCGTTGCGTACACACAGTTGGGCAACAGACGTTGTTTCTTCCTTTCTTCATTATGACCTAAGGTTGGTTCTAGATTCCTAGTTTTACCCAGATTATAAAAATGCATAAATACAGATGATATATGAAGCACGTCAGGCAAGCAGACTACTTTCGTATCTTGTCTATAACAGGCTCTAACGTTTTAGATCTGATAGGGAGAAATAGCCGTTCAGCCATTCTGCTCCACAGGTAGTGAGCTTATCTATTGGAGAGGCATGCGTGCAGATCATAGCGCAAGGATATACTGGCTTTCTGCTCCGAAGCAAGAGGCCTGATCCATCTCTGCAAAATAGGGACAACAATGCCCTGCTCAAAGAGGATGTGACAAGTGAGTAAGATAATGCATTTGAAAGTCCTTAGAGAGAGTAGCTTTCCTTTGTTCTTTTTATCCCTTGATTCTGACTCTTCCGTAAGCCCACCATACTGCTATAACTATGAAGATGTGCTCCTCAGAGAAAGTACACTTGGAGGAAAAATATAACAAGAAGAACTTCAATGTACGACCATATATTTTTTCAGAAGTGATTTTTTTGACTGATAACATTGGCGTCATCCTTTGAAATGTGGGGTGTTGCTTAAATGTTAAAAAAAGATCTGTAAGATTGTCTGTAGTCTGAAGAGATTGTTCTATATGACTGAGGCCATTTCTCCTATCATTGAAACGGATATACTGAAGCCATTTTTCCAGCTATTTCCTGATAGGTTTAAGTTGCAGAACTGAAGATCTGGTCTGTCTCATGCTGGTCAACCCCAATGTATTTCTTTTTCCTGTTAGTGAGACAGTGTTTAACCTGTAAAGTAGGACCTCTCTTTTGACTGGAGACAAAATGGATGGGTGTTCTTCTTACTTACAAAATGTATTCTATAAGAAGTCTGGCATGGGGCACCTGGGTGGCTCAGTCGGTTCAGCGTCCAACTTCGGCTCAGGTCATGATCTCACAGTTTGTGAGTTCGAGTCCCACGTCAGGCTCTGTGCTGACCACTTGCTCAGAGCCTGGAGCCTGCTTCAGATTCTGTGTCTCCTTCTCTCTCTGCCCCTCCCCTGCTCACGCTTTGTCTCACTCTGTTTCTCAAAAATAAATAAATGTAAAAAAATTAAAAAAAAATTCTGGCATCATCTCATTCAGAAATGAGAGGCTGTAGCCTAGAGAGCTGGAAGTGGCTGTACAGAATGAGGATGGGCAGTTCTGGCAAACGGGAGGGCATCTTAGCCTTTCTAGACACAGATGATGGAGGGCTTTTCAACCTTTCAAGCAAGCAAATTTGAGTCTTATTTTCTCAGATTTCCTAGTCTCACTTTGTGGTAGCACTACTTACATTGTGAGCCAAAAAGTGTCTTAAAGTATATAGGGTTGTTTCTGAAGCCAGTACAAGTTGAGTCCATGGCTCTTTTTTTCTCTCTTGTGGTAATGAAGTAACTAGAGACGCAGATGATAAATAATGATGGAGGCAGACGGGTGTCTCCGCAAAGGCTTATAGCCTGAACACATTACTGCACTTCCTCTGCTCTGCGGTTGGTAGTTAGTTCTGTATTTTGAGTTTCTGTAGATTTCCTATCCCCTGGTGCTCTGATGTACTTACGAGACAGTCAATTCACTTTATGGCAATTGCTCTCATACATTCTGAAAGACAGGATGCTAACATGCCAGCCTGGAAAATGCAGGGCAAATCCTCTCTCCCAGCATGGTATGGAGTTTATGTGTTCATCT